AACCAGCATGTCTCCTAGATCGGTCGATACGAAGCCCGCGCAGCCCGAGTGACCTCCCAGTGACCTACCAAGCAGCCGTCCAACCCCAGGGCAAGCTGCAAGTACGACATCAAGTGCTTAGCCCTATGGGCCATCCCGTGCTGGCCAGTCATCATTGAGCTGGATCACTGCAATCCTCCAGCAGTCGACAGGCGACTGTCTTCCTGACCTCCCGCCGGGCACAGAGAAATGCGTAGGTGCTGACGGCTCGAACACCAAACGGGGAGAAATCCACAACTTCCGCTCCCACCTTGTCTCTTCCCCCCGGCCCTCTTGCTTAACTGCGTGCCTGTCTCCCGGTTCCTGGCCCCAATCTATCCCTCTATACTCGAAGTCGCTTGGTCGAGGTAGTTTTATACGGCCATTCGTACGGCACTCGGGACGACTCTTATGAGGTTAGGATATCCATGGCATCTAGTGTTGGTCAGCAATTGATGCAGGAAAACGAATTCGATACTTCTCTGGCGCTGTCGTCTGCGAATCCTATACCTTCGCTCTCAGAAAGCAGTGAGGTCAGAGGCTCTTACCAGCTTCTAACTACTGCGCAAGGGCCTGGTCAGGCAGCTGAACGGCGGAAAAGCATCGGGAAGAAAGACGCCGGCGAAAGAGACGAGGCTTCTGCCCCTGTCGGCATACAGCCAACTGCCGGTACCGCCAGCAGTCCAGGTGCAGCAAAGGGTGCAGCGACATCGAAGCCGAAGCGAGTGAGGACAGGATGTTTGACATGCAGGGAAAGGCATCTCAAGTGTGATGAGGCTCTTCCGCGCTGCCTCAATTGTCAGAAGTCAGACAGGCAATGCAAGCGTGGAATTAGGTTGAATTTCATCGATACGCAGGTCGCTGCACCGCCGTATGCTGCGCCATCTCCGCAGACATGGCAGATCAACTTTCGAGACGAGTCGAGGGAGATCGCTTCCGAATACCTGGGCGGATCTGAGAGGTATCGCCCCATAAAGAATGAGGAGTTTACCAAGCCCATTGGATTCGGGTTTGCCAATATAATGGGGTTTTCCATGCCCTCTCATCAGACTCTAGCCAGTGCACCGGCCTTACTGACATTTCCTGATGCCCCGTCTGCTGAAGGGTACGAATCTATGTTTCAAACCACTCAGCAGCCGCCCTCTTCTAATCATGTAGTTCAAGATCAACCTATTCCACAGCCACCAGTGCTTACTCTAGCACCTCCAAGGGATCCGAAACCATATCTAAATACTCCGGAAGAAGTGCTTCTCATGCAAGTGTTTGTCGAAGAGGTCGGCCTATGGATGGACTCAATGGACGCCATGAAACACGTACGTATTTGTTCTCCATGTTCCAAAACTTCCAGGTTAAAACCGCCTGCTCACCTGTCCAGTTTACTCGTATAATACCATTTTATGCTCTTGGAGAGCCAATGCTTCTGAATGCGCTGCTAGCATGTGGTGCCCGCCATTTACATCTTGTGAATGTGACGTACAAGGAGGAGAAAGCTTTATTCTACTACAACTCGGCCACCCAGGATCTTCTCAGATACCTTCAAAATCCTAACCGAGACTCTGCTCTGTCTGCCACGACTGCCGTGGTCCTCAATGTCTACGAGGTCATGTCTACAAAGGCAACTCAGCGGATGAACCACATAGCAGGAGCCCGGGCTCTTATCAAGGAATGCCACTGGGACGGCAGATCGACCGGAGTAGGTGGTGCCTGTTTCTGGCTAAACGTCGGTATGGAGCTACTAAGCTGTCTTCATTACAATTGGAAACTAGCCTGGGACCCGGATACCTGGGGAGTGGATATGAATATGGTTCCGGCTGAATCTAGCATTGTCGGGAACGAGGAATTATGGACGCATAGGATAGTGTACATCTGTGCAAAAGTCGCTAATTATCGAACAACAAAGCATCAACCTTTAGTTCATGAAAGACAGAGCCACGAGCCCGATGTAAGTCGACAAAGCGACGAATGGAATAAAATGAAAGCCTGGTGTGATGAGTGGGAGAGATGCATACCTCGGTCGATGCGGCCGCTCGGGTACCTGCAGCCGTGGCAGTCGAAGACAAAGTCTTCATTCCCCGAAGTTTGGTAAGTTCCCACTGTTATCGGAGCAGAGGAATATGCATCTGCCTATATGCTAATTGCTTTCATACTGACATAAGGATTAGGCTTATCAAGAGATCTTCCGTGGTTGCCCGACTGTTCTACCACACTACATGTGTTCTTTTGGCAAAGACCCATCCAACCGAGTCCCAGTTTAGCGAAAATATTCTAGCTATCCAGCAGAGCCACGCAAATGACATCTGTGGCATCGTGGCACATGTCAAAGATCGGTACGTTTTATCCGGCATGCCCCTTTCCCGCCATCCATCTATCTCGCGCCATGCTAACATAGCTATTCTAGTGGTGTTGCTAGCGTCTCCATTCGGTGTCTGATAATAGCGGCTGAATGCCTTGTCAACAGAGTCTCACAAGAGCAGGTTCTAGATATCATGGATAAAATTCTCAAGGAGACCGGCTGGAAAATCGGACCTCTTCAGCAAGAGCTAGTGCAAAAATGGGGATGGAATGTCAAAACCGAAAGCCAGCCAATGCCACAGGACCAACACCAACACCAACATTCTCACCAACAACATCAACAGCCTGCCATGACCTCCATCCCTACAACCTCAACAGCTGCGGGCCCTATGAACCTGAACCCTTCCTTGCTACCTCCCGAAGTGGGCCTTGCCCCTCCTCGCCCTGCTATTCCACAAGGGATCGTTAACCCAATGATGGCGGCTGCTGATTTTAACGCAGCCAACCACCCATATCAGAATCATTATGTCGCACCACAAAACACTCCGCAGGGCAGTTATCAATACGGCAATTACTAGTTTTTCTCATGATAGCAAAGCTGGATAGATGTCGCATAGCTTTTGACATGGCATGGCGCATGGACTTTCAACTGCATGGGGGGAGCTCGTACTTGTTTCTTTTCTCGGCATCGGTATTTTTTCAGGTCGACTACCATTCTCCGGCGTCTGTTTGGCGGGCTCAAAAACAACATACTTAATTCCCTTGTCGCTATATTGTTTCTTATCTTGTTGAAATATGGGCTCAATAGGCCGGAAATGATCTAAAATGTCAGTTAGATCGTAGCCGACGGCCCGGAAGAGGACTGGATTCTAGCATATCATCGCTGCCGCAAGTATTTAATGGAGGAAAATTGCATATAAATGGAGTACTAGTTACCGGCTTTTATTCTTTTATCATCTATCAAGTTGGTTGTTCTTTTTAACTAGTTACTGGTAGTTTAACTATTTAGTCGCTAATTGATAACTTCCCAGAGGCCAAGACCAGTTTCTTTTCATCAAGCTTCGCCTTCTTTAGACCACACACTTTGTACCAAACAACAATCCAGAGGAGAACTACAATAGTCCCGTCCAAATATACCCAGAAAAGAATATCTACGCTATATAGCCGAAAATTCTAGCGGCATAGCCAATATGGCGGCTTCTGATCAATACCGACAAGGCCCTTCAGACTCAAGCCAAAAACACCCTCCGGCATCCCCTACTTATGTTCTTAGAGGACACGCAAACCCAATACACTCTCTCAACTTCTATGGCTCCAACTCACGACTTATTTCTGGGGATGCCGATGGATGGGTTGTTGTATGGGATATGACTAGTAAACGGGCGGTAGCCACCTGGAAGGCTCACGAAGGATCTATCTTAGCTGTTGTGGGAATTGAAGTCAACTTAGAGACAGGTGTGGAAAGGAGAATACTGACGTGAGATTCCCTCTATATCTCACCGACTGGGTGTATCGACTAACAAGCTATAGACACGGAAGAGACCATAAGCTATGCGTCTGGAGGTTAAATGAGAAGGACGAAGACATCGTGGGCAAGATACTTCCCTTGGACACGCAAAATAGCCCACAAGATGGAAACAAGCCGTGGATGTTACATTCTCTATCCGTTAATGCCCTGAATTTTTGTGGTTTTGCGTATTGTTTTCTCCCACACAAGCGTGAGATGCAGTCTGAGGACGCGATCAACGCAGAAAACCAAATGCTTCTCGCAGTACCAAATGCTTTAAATACTGGTGGCCTTGATATCTTCCACCTGCCATCTGAAAAGCGGCTATGTGTTATCTCACCAGAAAAGGAGATTAACACTGGTATGGTGATGGCATTAGAAATGTTCATACCTCCTGAAGGAGAAGACCTTTATATCGTTTCTGGCTATGAGGATGGCAGTGCCATGGTCCACGCCTGTCGAGGGGCCATTGACCGGTTACTCATTGCGGAGGAGGATAATTCTAACTCTTCATGGAACTGGGAGTTACTATATACAAACCGTCCACACTCACAGCCAATTTTATCACTTGATGTCTCACCCTGCTCGGAACGAAAGTGCTTTATCACTTCATCTGCAGATGCAATGATCGTGAAACACGCTATTCCAAGGCTGCCGCCAACCTTGGAACCTGATGTTACCAATATTAGAAGTGCAGTAGAGTCAGCGCATTTGAAAGCTGTGAACACTAAACATTCTGGACAGCAAGGCTTGAGAATTCGATCGGATGACAAAATATTCGCTACCGCAGGATGGGACAATAGAATCCGAGTTTACAGCTGCAAGTCAATGAAGGAGCTAGCGGTTCTGAAATGGCACAAGGAAGGGTGCTATTCTATTGCATTTGCCCAGGTCAATATGGACACTGGAGACATAGAGACGACTAGAGGTGCAATAGGTCCCAATACAATCCAGGAGAATAAAAGTACGGATCTTACGATTAGGAATGAACCCCGTTCTTTGGCAGAAATCAAGCAGCAGAGAAGCATCAAAGCACAGTTAACACATTGGATTGCCGCCGGGTCAAAGGACGGAAAGGTCTCGCTATGGGATATATACTGAGTGTGCACAACGCTGTCAAACATGAAAGGAGGAGAGAGAAAAAAAAGTAGTATCGCTCAACTGCACCATACCGGACTCACCCTTAGGCGATATTGAACTCATTTGCCGCGGCCATATGTTCTCTCATCTTCTTCCGCATTTTATCAGCCGCACTATCATTTTTGGGACCGGAATCATTCTTCTTGTCACTGGAATCTACCGTCCTGTTTGCTTTGAACGCCTTCTTTGTCTCCTCCTTGCCGGTTCGAAGTCCAGGAACATTGATCTTCGTTGGCCTATCTCGCAAGCCGAAACCTTTGGCCAGATGGCCTAGATGCAGATCCTTTATGTTGAAGTACTCCCTCTCGCTTGCAATATGCGTAGCGTAGGCACGAATATGAGATTGAAAAGCCCGACGAGCCATTTCCAGGATACTGGGGTTGTCCAGGGTCCAGCGTTCTATATCTAGCTGGAACTCAGTGGCTGCCTCTTCCCAACCCTTGCCATTAGTCCGACCAAATCCTCGCTTCAAGATGTCGCTTTCATCACTGCGGGTCACAGCCTTGGTGTTGTTGTCGCGATAACCGCGTTTTAGAACATTGATATATCCTTCTTCACTTCCCGGAAGAAGGAAGATCATAGCACGACCATCACGACCCAATCGAGCTGTACGACCGATACGGTGAAGATGGTCATCAGCGGAGAACGCAGGGTCATACTCAATGACAAAGTCAACATTTGGTAGATCGAGACCCCGAGACGCAACGTCTGTACATATTAAAACGGAGGTGTCCTTTTGTTTGGCAAATGCAGAAAGCGTGGCTGTTCGAACATGTTGAGGGAGGGATCCATGCAGTTTATGCAGTATTACCGAATTGTTCGGATTTGATAATGTTGGAGATTCGGATACTGTTCCTTGGGTAGCTGAGTTAGTTGTATATGCCGCTTCAGCACTCGAGTCTTTCTCCTCCTTTTCTTCTTCCTGTTTTTCCTTCTCTCCCTTTCCGACGCTTTCAGTACTCTTATCCGACTTTCTAGTGAAAACCTCGAAATGGTAATCCACTGAATCTGCGCAAGAAACAAAAACAATAGCTTTCATAACAGTTCCCTTGCGTATAAAGGTACTCTTGAGAAGGGCTGTCAAGGTAACAAGCCGAAGCTTTGATGCGACAATTGCGAACGACTGCTTCAGCTGAGCTGGTGCTGAGAATTCCAAAGACTTTTGCGCATCTCCAGCCTGGGAAGAGGTATCTTCAATCTCATCTGCCGGATCAGCCTGTATATGAACCGCATCCTTCAAACTCATCTCTCCTAGACGCTGCACGTTCATCTTCAGCGTGGCAGAACATAGTACCGTTAACCTCCTTGGAGGAAGATTTTCAATCTTTGATGTCGGTCGCCTTTTAGAGTCCAACTTTTTAATAGTATTCTGAATCTCTTCTTCAAATCCTAACTCCATCAATCGGTCGCCTTCGTCTAGCACAAGCCATCTAACAAGGCCCACGTCAAGAACTTTGGTATTATCTAGATGATCCGCAAGCCGTCCAGGAGTAGCCACGAGGATATTCAACCCCTTCCGTAATCTTGCTTTTTCTGATTTCTTCTTCTCTCCACCGATAACTGTGCCAGCAACAAGCCAATGAGCACAGTTTAGCAAACTATCAAGTACCACAGATATCTGCTTGCAAAGTTCTCGAGTTGGCGCAAGGATAATAGCAAATAAACCCGAGTCTCGGTGAATCGGCGTGGCTTGACCTTGGCCTTCCTCTGCACTTTTTCGGCCAGATAGGTTCATTAGCCGTTGTACCAAGGGTAGGAGGTATGCAAGTGTTTTTCCAGATCCAGTCTCTGCCTGTATAAACCCATCGCAATTCTCTTTTAGCAGCTGCGTAATTGAGCTTTTTTGAATCGCGGTAGGATTTTTCAACTTCAGTTTAGTCAGTAGGTGTGCTGCGAGCTCTGGCGATAGCCCGAGGGACGTAAACGTATCGATACCGTCGACGAGAGGGGCATTGGAAGCTTTCGTAGCTTCAGCATCATCATGCGCTGTAGATTCTTCCACCGTAGGTACAGTCTTCGCAACGGGATTATACGAGAAAAGCGACGAGATAACCTCTCTTTGTGGGCCAGTGGCATATTTGCTGCTGGAGTTATTGGAAACTCCTGTTATGGTAGCAGTGCTTGGTTGAAAATCTCCATTATTGAGTCTCTGTCGCTTCGGTGGACGGCTAGATACACCTCCATGGTCCGCTTCTCCCCCTCTTTCACCCCGTCTACTATCATCTGCGGTAAATGGTTGCTTCGATTTCTTGTGCCGGTGGTCTGCGATTTTTTTGGCGACGAGGCGATCCTTCCACTTGCCGCCTTTAAATTTCTGTTGCGAGCTGATAATCCCGTCTCCCACGTCAAAATTCATAAGCATGCCATCGTCCGCCATGATGATGACCAAAGTAAGAGCGGAGCACTTTGGTATTGTTTCGTTGATTTCTCTCTTTTGCTCTCTCCGGCGTTGCAGCTGGAGGGTGAAGATTGAAGTTTTGAGTTTTGCGGCAGAAGGGGGGAAAAAAAAAGTTGCTTGACCCTAAAGCTGAGCCCTAAATTCCCGATTCTGCAGTATGTAAACCATGGACGCAAAGATATATAGCAAAGTAAAGCAAAGGTGTTTAGTAGACGTTTTAACTAATAATTATATAACATTCTGATAGTAGAACCCAAGCTCTCTCTCTCTCTCTGAATTATAGCTGTATATCGCTGTATATCCACAGGACCACAGAATATATGGAGGACCCATGATCTAGATTAGTATAGAATAAGGAGCTTTCAAGATAAAGGCTGTAGGACGATATTATCGATCAGTCTCACAGGTACTTTTCCTCCTCCAAGCCCGCAGTCTTCTCCTTCTTGGGATTCTTCCAGCGGAAACATCTTCACAGCACCGCTTAAGACCGCACCCTTTGATTCATCGACATGGTCCAGCTCCTCTAGTGACTCGGGGTCTGCTAGAGAAATATAGTCCACTTCAAATCTTGCACGTTTATATGCAGGGAGGAGTTCCTGTTCAGCTAATGTGGATTGTGCGAAGGAATTGGCAGCGCCGAGTATTTCATTTCGCGACTTCTTTCCGGATAGGTAGACAGCCTCCGCTGCTCTCATGGCACGGGACAAAACCAAGCCAACATTTCGTCGTCTAGCGCCGAGATATGCATTACGCGAACTCATCGCAAGACCATCTGGTTCTCTTGAAGTCGGACCAACCCTGACCTCAGTGTCTATATGGAAATCCTGTACCATGCGTTTGATGATAATAGACTGCTGTACGTCTTTTTGACCAAAGTAGACACGGTCCGGAGTCACCATGTTGAATAGCTTTGTACACACAGTAGCAACCCCGCGGAAGAACACTGGTCTAGAAGCTCCCTCGAGCTTGGTCGCCAGTGGTGTTATGGTCACGAAGCTTCCGTTTCCATTTAGCTCGGATGTGGGAGGTAGCGTAGGGTACACTACTTTGGTAGTGGGAGCAAAAATTGCCGTAACACGGCCAGATCCAGGCGATGACTTGCTTTCAAATTCTGTATTGAGAGCTTGTATCTTCTCCAAATCTTCGTTCCATGTCCGCGGGTAGCTGTCCAAGTCTTCATTGACTCCAAACTGCGTTGGGTTCACATATATGCTAACAACGACATCAGTGTTTTCCTGGGCAGCCTGTCGGATTAGAGACATGTGGCCATCATGTAGGGCACCCATTGTAGGCACAAATCCCACGGTCCGGCCTGAAAGAAGGAGGCCTCTCCTATATTGCCGAAGTGGTGGTACATCCCTGAAGACGGAGATTGCTGACTGGGATAGATATCGGCGATGGCCGGTAAGCCTTATGGGCAAAGCTTAACAGAGAATCGTTAGCTATATGACATTACTCTGCAGCAGAGGGCACTCAATGGCTTACTTGAGACTCTTCTTGTCCACATCATTAGACTAAGCCGGTGTTAACGATAGTGTCAAGTTGTGTGATATCCGGCAAGGGAAAAGCGAGGGAAAAGACGGCGGGTATGCCAGATGGGCTTTTGACTCTACATTCTATGTCAACGTGAAGAGATTTATTTCACTTGCGCGTCCCCCAAGGCAGCCTTTGAGCTCACGATCGTGCTGCCTTCTTCAGCGTTGCTTGCAGTCTTCTTTTTTCCCTTCGCTTTACTGGGGTCTTTTCTTTTTATTTATATCTTTTTTTAGCCGCCCTCGGCTCTTTTTTTGGTTAGGAGTGTCAGGTGATCGCCGGGCCGAGGTTAGTCAGCAGCAACGACAAGGAAAGAGCGTCGACAACAAGTAGGAGAATACGAAGACTCGAAGGACGAAAGGAAGACAAGGATAGCTCTGGTATGCAGTGATCGGGTGTGAAGGGGAGTGAGCTGGGCCTTTTTCTCTTCTTCTTACCCCCTAATTCACTGTGCGGCTGTCTTCACATTGATGGATATGTCGATGGAGTTGTAATTGGTGGCTTTTCGTCTGATATATAACTATACAGCTCTTCTTTTTGTTATATCGGCTGCGTACTCATGACAATGGCTTCAAAAGAGGGACCTCCAGAGGTCCCAAAGCTGGCGCCAGACCTTGAGATTGTGGGAGATCAGGTCAGAATTCAGCCTACCGGATTTACAGCCGGGATCGAGGAAACAGATGGCATTACCGAACGCCGGTTGATGCACCAGATGGGCAGATTTCGAGAGAACCCTTTTGATTTCTTACGAGAAATCAGCCTCTTTGTGTCAGGTACAGGGTGGCGTGCATACGATGATTTTATTGGTCAGCCCATCTTCTACTCTGGCTTCTCTGAGAAGATGAAGTCGTCTGTAGCAAGTCACTCGCTGCTAGTTGGCAAGATTGAAGAGCTGGCAGAATCGCGGGTTAAGACTGAGGAGGTCGAAGGACTCCTGAGTGTTACTGCGCCGGCGAGTTCTAATGGCGAACCCAGCGTTGATGCACGGACTAGGAGAAAGGAGGAGATTGCGGCTAGTCTGCGAGAGGTTGTTGATACCATGATGGATAATATGATTTGCAAGATGGAGAGCAAGTCATTTATCCGAGGAGCATACTATATTACTACTCAGATCCTAACTAGAGCGTATCATCAAGGTAGGTCCAATGGTTATTGTTTCGTGCATGAAAATACCCATCTTTGCTGAACGCATAGATTGACTGGTATGTCTTAGGAATCCATGTTTCCAGCGAGGAGGTGCTGCGGCTTAGGAAAGTCGCTGAAGAGGCAGCCAAGAAGAAACAATCCATTGTATTCTTACCTTGTCACAAGTCTCATGTCGACTATGCATCCCTTCAAGTTATCTGCTATCGGCTAGGGATAGCGCTCCCGGTTGTGGTTGCTGGAGACAATTTAAACATTCCTTTACTCGGGAGCTTCTTGCAGCATGCTGGTATGTTCTGATATCCAACCTATGAAGCTGAAGTAAACTTATACCAAAATATAGGTGCTATGTGGATTCGACGCAAGTTCGGAAACGATCCACTGTACCATGCTCTTGTCCAAGCATACATTGATACCCTGTTGAGCAACGGCCATAACTTTGAATGTTTTGTTGAAGGCGGCAGATCTAGAACCGGAAAACTCTTACCGCCCAAATATGGCATTCTTAGATATGTTTTGGACAGTGTTGGCTCTGGCCGTGTGGAGGATGCGCTTATCTGCCCTGTCAGCACTCAGTACGACAAAGTTATCGAAACCGAGTCATATATCAGTGAGCTTCTCGGTCAACCGAAACAAAAGGAAAATCTACGGGACTTTATATCCGCATCCTCTGTTCTTTCACTGAAGCTAGGCCGAATTGATGTTCGGTTCCATGAACCATGGAGCTTAAAGCAATTCATTACCCAGCAGACTACCAAAATACACCATATGCCTACTAATGAGAGGAATCTGATGGCAACTATCAGTCAGGAGGAGCGATCAAGAATTCTACGCACTTTTGGTTACCGTGTCCTTTCCCAGATCAATGACGCTTCGGTCATCATGCCCACCGCTCTTGTGGGCACCGTCCTTTTAACGCTAAGAGGTCGAGGTGTTGGTAAAGCTGAACTATCCCGAAGAGTGGATTGGCTATGTCATCGTGTCAAGGAAAAAGGTGGGCGGGTTGCACATTTCTACAGAGCACCAACAGCACATGTTGTAGAGCGTGCCCTGGAGGTATTGGGTCCAAAACTTGTGGGGAAAACGGCTGGGCTTGCGGAAGAGACCTATCATGTCGTTGATCGGTTCCAATTGTCGTTCTACCGGAACATGACCATTCATCTATTCATCCCTGAAGCTTTAGTATCCGTCGCCCTGTACAGCCGAGTAAAGAAAGGCGGTGAACCATCTAACCAGCAGATAACTTATGATGAGCTTCTTACTCGTGTATCTTTCCTATCGCAGGTTCGTATCCCCATTACTTTTCACGACAAGGAATATGATGCTAAGTAGATATGATAGCTATTCCGAGGGGAGTTTATCTTCCCTCCAGAGGGCCTAACGGCAAACCTGGAGAAAACACTACATGGGCTGGAAAGAGGAAATGTGCTCAAGGTTACCAAAGACGCATCAAACGTTCCACAGATGATTGAGCTCAGTGAACATGAGAGAAACTGTGGCCGTGAAAACTACGACTTCTATTGTTTCCTGTTGTGGCCATTTATTGAAGCGTGCTGGCTGGGAACTGTATCTCTGATAGGCCTAACACCGCCGCTTACAGACCCGACAAATGTCTGGGTTGACATGAATAAGGCCCAGAGCAATGCTCAGCTGGTAAGTTTATGCTTGGGATTGTTGATTTCTTTCTTCACTGTATTATTAACAAGCGATTACAGCTCGGGAAAACGCTATACTACCAAGGTGATCTCTCTTACATCGAAGCTGTCAACAAGGAGATATTAAAGAACTCCTACCAGCGATTTGAGGAGGAAGGCATAATTATCACCGCTAAGAGCAAGGAATCTCCTCAGCCGCCAACGATGCGAGTTTCGCCTGAATGGGCGCCCGAAAGAGACCCCGAGACAGGCAAATTACTTCCACAGGGGAAACTATGGGAATTTATCCGCATGATTGCACAATCCCGTCGTGAAGGGTATGTAGAGGATTCCATGCATACCAATGAGCTCAGCTAACGTGCACATACAGGAAAAACCGTCGTGATGGAGAGACTATCTCCACCCGCGTACTAGAGCTCAGCGAGGCTATGGGAAGAACGCTCTTCCAGGCAGCACACCCAGTCAAACCTGCATCTGCCGGCGGGGATGTTGAGCTGTCTTCGCAGATACAACGGCGACGAGCAATTGATACCGCATCGAAGCTGTAGTACCCCATCCATGACCCTTGACCATGTAGAATGTAATATGCCGAGATCGAGATATCCCAACAAAATATGTATATATGCACAACGCCCTACACAACATATGTTACATACCCCTCTTTTATCCTTGCAATATTGTGCGATGCAGTTGAGATAGATACCTGTGGAATCCTAGTTAATATAATGCGTATGACATCCCAAGACTCGTTTTCGTTCAGTTTACGTTTGTTTAGGAGGCGCGCCTTTTTCCGTATGTACGAACCCGCTTCCCCTACTCTGAAAGCATCACTGTCATCGCTCGCACTCGAATTAAAGGCTGTGTGTATCATTATTGCACTTGTACCATGGCCGGAAGGTAAGGTCACCTCGTTGTAGCATCAGTATGTACACTCAACGCACTATGTGCGACCTTGGGGCCTACCAGGACGGATAGTCTAGGCATGCATATCCTATCAAAAGCTGCAAGGTTAGCGTATGAACGGGTTCATCCGAGCATCGAGGTCGATCATCTTCCAAGGGACTTTTGCCCATGCCACTGTCCAAGTTTTTCCTTTCATCCGCCAATCCTGCTGATTATTGGATACTTAAGTTAAATGAATACACACGTATTCAAACTGTCTCTCATCAGGCAACCAAAAAAAGATAGCACCAGTGGCGTACTAACCACAAATCAGACTATCATCTCGGTCTCGCCTTCGCCTTTTACCTCTCTCTCATCGTCGCCGTCTTTCATCTTATCTATTCATCTATCGGCTCCATCTTATCGCTATCTTATCGCCATCCTTCCCCGACTATCACCACGTGACTGATTAATCATCCGCCTTACGCGCGTCCAAAAAAAGAAGCCCAGCCTTGGCATTTTTGCTTTTTCTCGAGTTGTTTTTTCTTCCTTCTTGGTCTGTCTCACATTTCCAACTCCAACTCCAACTCCAACCTGCAACCTGCAACCCCCCCGACGTTCTCTCTTATCAGGATCGATTGGCTCTCTTAGATGCCTCCTGGCTCTCTATTTCGCTCCGCCTGCACAGCGCAGCTATCAATCTTCGACTCCCCGCCACTCGCTCATCAGCAGACATATAGCTATTGCATGATTTTCTACAGCTCAGAGGACACGAGCACGCAACGCAGATCCCGTTTCAGCTTTCCTCGAGGATAGCCAGCAGACTTTCATACTCGCATAATTAATTTATTCCTCCGATGAATGCGGACGCCGCGAAAGCCAGTCTCGTTAATATTCCCTCCACTATATTAAACCAGCTTTAATTCCCCCCTATTCGACTCTTCAGAGGAGACGGCCGTGATGTTATAGTGATTAAGTGTTGTATTGATATTCACCTGATAATTCAAGAAATGGGGAGATGTATGTATAACTGCCAGTGCGACAGGCCTATACAGTTAACAGGAATAACGTTGCTAACGGGTGCGCGGTTCGATTTATTTAGGGAAGTATGCAGTTGTTCTGGACGCTGGATCGTCCGTAAGTACTACCTGCTGCGTTCGCAATGCCAGTTTTACGCCGGGAATCTGAAAGGAGAACTCATAGCTAAGAGTATGCGCTTCGTAATTCATAGGGAACGAGAGCACATATCTACAGATGGCCCAAAAAAGCACATAAGGATGCTGGTAGCAAGGACCTGGCAAAGTTGCCACCTATCGAAACTACCAAGGAATGGACGAAGAAGATAAAACCGGGTATGAGAAACACATGGCGCATGCATCACCGCGTACTCGCTCGATTTACTGACCTGAGTTTCTAGGTGTTTCGTCCTTCGCCAAAAACCCAGAAAACGTCGGCCCAGACCACCTCCACAAGCTTCTCAAACATGTACACTCCGTAATACCTCGCAAAGAGGTCGAGGACACGCCGATATTCCTTCTTGCGACTGCTGGTATGCGGTTGTTGTCAGACAACGAACAGAAAGAGATCCTCAAAAATGTATGCTCCTACATTAGTGACAACTCTGGGTTTCTTTTACCAGATTGTGATGCCCATATAAAAGTTATCGATGGAAAAACGGAGGGACTCTACGGTTGGATTGCGACAAACTATCTTCTAGGCGGTTTTGATGAGCCAAAGGCCCATGATCATGGCAAGGGCCATCACACCTACGGTTTCCTAGACATGGGCGGTGCTTCTGCGCAGTTAGCATTCGCGCCAAATTCCACGGAGGCCAAAAAGCATGCGAATGACTTGACACTATTGCGTCTGAGGACCCTTAACGGGCAGTCAAATGAGTACGGCGTCTTCGTTACATCCTGGTTAGGATTTGGTGTTCGACAGGCAAGATCCCGTTATGTAAAGGCTCTTCTGAAAGGAGCGCCTGCCGGTACAGTCAACAGAAAATTCCCGGATCCTTGTCTCCCTGACGGTTTGCGAACAACACTAGAAGGAACTATTCTCCCTTCAGATGGCCCAGTACCTGGCACAGACTCGTACTTGGTAGGGAATGGAAAGTTTGAGGAGTGTTTGCGCGAAACAATCCCCTTGCTTGCCAAAGACACTCCGTGCGAGGATGAACCCTGTCTGTTGAACGGAGTGCACGTCCCTGCGATTGACTTTGATGTCAATCACTTCGTCGGCATAAGCGAGTATTGGCATACCACCCACGAAATATTTGAGATGGGCCACCAGGACAAGGCTTATGACTTCAAAACCTACCAGATGCGTGTCAATGAGTTTTGCTCAACGCCCTGGAGCGCTATCAAGGACGGCATTGAGCAAAAGAAATGGGGCAAGGTTGACCAGGAAACCGCCTACGAGGTCTGCTTCAAGGCGGCCTGGATAATTAACATCCTCCATGAGGGCATCGGTATACCTCGTATTGGACTCGAGGCTTCCACCAACAACACTAACAGCGCTACTAAAGAACTCGGGGGCCACGGCAAAAATGGCCAAGACAAAACCTACCTAGATCCGTTCCAGGCTGTGGATAAGATCAATGCCACTGAAGTGAGCTGGACTCTTGGAAAGGCTGTCCTATTTGCATCATCTCAAGTCCCTGCGTCTAAGGCAAGCTTACCTGTTGGGTTTGGTAGCAACACCCCTGGCAAGGTCCCGGATGACTTCGAATACCCAAGTTCGAACCAACCTCATATCCCCACACCACCTAGCAACTCTGATAAAAACGGCACAAGCGAGAATTGGCATGACACATTATTCGACGGAGACTCACCTCGCCGTATCCCTGGTTTCTTTATCTTCGCCATTATAGTTTTAATTGTTATCTTTTTCCTTCTTGGGCGAGAACGTCGTTCCCGCATCTATCATAAACTAGGCATGCGATTCGGACGTGGTGGTAACAACGGAGGCAACTCGAGAAGAAGATCCCCTTTTTTCAGGGGGAAGATACCCTTCCTCTCTAGACGAGGCCCCGGAATTTCCTACGAACGCGTGTTAGAGGAAGGTGACCATCGAGACTTTGAGCTTGGCAGCATGGACTCGGACGAAGATTCCCAAGGATCTTCTTCCTCATCACCACCTTCAGGCGCCGCTGGAAGCCGACCTCTGGCCCGGACACCTCACAGCCAAAGCCCCAAATATAATCTCGACAATTCGTCTTTGCTCAGCATTGCGAGCCTTAATAATTCCCTGGATAGGCGCGGGCTTGTTATCAGAACCGAGAGTAGGGACAGACTATATGCTCCCGCCCTTGCGCCGACAACTGTCGGTCGAAAATCTCGTGCCACCAGCCCTATCCGACTTTCTACGCCCATTACGAACCCTTAAAAATGATACCAATATCCTTTACCGCTCATCATTGCAGAGTTGTTACTTGTATATAATATAATGGTGTTATGATCCGGCGTTTTCCTGCAGATGGTGTTCGGTTTGTGCGATCGGTCCTTTCCTGGCGCGCGGCGCAATATTTATATCACCCTTTGCATGACGTTACATGTGTATATCATCTACCTTTTATAATATCTAGACAAGCCGGTTCCAACACCAATATTTCAGCTCATGGCATCTCGATCGGTTATCCATTAAAAGAAACAGTCTACAAGTGCAATTGAGGATAAGATTAGACCTTGCTCCAGATTGTATTTTATAGAACAGCCCTTTGTAGAACACCTGTTGAGAAGAATAGAAGATCAACAACTTAACATCCCGCACGTAAAAGAAACCCAACCCAATAACCAACAGTTTGCATTAGGTCATCTCAACGTCCTTATCACCATCTGCATCACCAGCACCACGAGGTATCCGTCCTTCATTCAACTCTTTCTCTAACCTGGTGATTTCCTGCAGACTCTTGGCTTCTCGTATCATCTTCTCGACTCGTTTCCTTTCCTCAGGCGTCAGCTTGACTCGTAACGGTTTCTCACTTCCCGCACCTCCCGGCGAGGAAGTAGATGATGCTGCGCCCAGAGCTGCAGAGACATCGAACGCGCGGGACTTTATGCCTAGTATCTTCGACGCTAGGGCTGTGGGCTGTTTCGTCGACGGTCCGAAGAGTTCCTTTGCCTTTTCACGTTCGACATCTTTTACTTTTTGGTAGTCTAGGAAGCGTATCGTCGGAGCAAGCCATATGATCCAATATCGGTAATGCTAAGATGCACCGTTAGCAATTTTCGACAACCAGCTCTAAGGGCTGAGGGGATGTACCTCTTTCCTGGTCACTGGGTTTTCCAGTAGACTCAAATGCGTTAATCTGGGAAACGTCTTGAGCGGCTCCAGGTCCGCTAGTTCGGCAAAGTTGTTTGCTGTCAGGACTAGGGTTGTCAGGTTTGGAAGTGAGGTCGCTAGGGTTGGTTGGATATGCGAGACGCGATTGCGGGCGAGAAGGAGAGATCGTAATCGAGGCGAGAAAGGAAAGTTAGAGATCGAGGATATGCTGTTGTCCGTGAAATCGATTGCATCGTGGTCCTATCCAACATGTTAGATTTCAAAGGTCCTGCATTGGTGTCGCGGATATGTAGCAGGATGCTCACCTTTGCCGCGCCGAAGTTCTCTATAACGGGAATTTTGTGCCCTATATGGTCCATCCCCGGAAGGAGGTAACGATAGTATCAACGCAGCTCTATGTTTGTAGGGTATGTATATGTGGTGTGGCTTCACCGAGGATGGGAAAGAAAAAGTGTAGTATCTGCTGCTTTTCAGACTAACTAGGGTGCTTTCTCTGTCATTACGCACCTCGAAGATCTAGCTCGCGCTCTTTGAGAGGATTGAGATACGAGAGGGAGTTCTGGATCAATTCAACCGTGAGACGCATCTTTGCCGGCTCTGCTCTGCTCTGCTTTGCTCCCCCTGCTTCGTCCGGAGGCTTGATATCTTGACTTTTGCTGCTTTTTTTGTTATCGAAAGCTCGAAAAAGTAGAGTTGACGTTCTCTGTCACGTGTTCCTTATCTAGATCAGGCACGGAGAGACGAGAGACGAGAGACGAAGAGACGGCGGCCTGCAGATTGGAGATGATGCCACGAACACCCGCGCAGTTCCAGGGGAAACAGCATGCATGGGTCTGTAATGAAGCATTAGTATTTATTACCAAGTTCTTTTCGTCTATAAATGTCTATGTATCCATATAGTTATCTGGGGTCTCCCCATCTTCCTATCAAGACGGCGGTCCTCGCAGTGTATATCTCCGCTTAGTCATCAGTTAAATCGCACACAGAAAAAACGCACAACTCAGTCAGGGCAGACGAAGCCTCGCTTTGATATCAGGCGTGGGAATCATCAACATCTCGCAACGCCGACTGCCTCGTAACTGTAGACCAGACCCTTGAAGCCGCCTGGACTTATTGCCCGCCTCACACCAGCCGAACTCGATAAAAAGGAGCTTCTTTCGACCATTTGCGGCCTCTTCTGCTCTCAACACAGTGATAGCGGCCTTTGGAAGGCCCGACACCAACAACCAAGTCTCTGTGGCGTAATTGGCTAGCGCGTACGACTGTTAAGAACGATTCAACAAGAAGAAGTTCGGTCATCGTAAGGTTGGAAGTTCGAGCCTTCCCAGGGACGAATTCTCTTTTTTTATTTGCATTTTTACTGGCTTCATTGAGGCCGGGGACGGTGGGTAGACGGGGAAGTCGAGTGGACTGAAATTATACCCACTCGCAGCCGCTCAGAACCCTGGTAAGGGCAGGGGAACTCCGGAAAAGATACCACAATATAAAAGCTGTACGACATATCTTTTTGGCATACTGGTATCTATATATATATATATCTGCCAAAGGGTAGTTCCGGGCATTGAATTATTATATCAGACACAATGGAGTCGGCACCATGGCGCCCCTTGTTCGAAGAGCATGTTCAAGCCGCAGGCAGCCCACTGCTATCGCTGGCAACTGTATTCAAGGGCATAAACGGCAATCCGTTCCCTCGGGTAAGAACCTGTGTTCTCCGGGGCTTCTTTGCTGGCCTGCAGCTACATCCCAATGCAAAGCGTGACCTGAAGTTGGCTTCAGGGCGTCCAGTTAATGAAGAAAGTGACGACGAAGATGCCTCGTATCTGAATCCGAGAAAGTATGAGAGTGACCTATTGAGTATTACCACCGATGCTCGATCTGAGAAGGTCAAGCATATCCTATCTGGTAACGAGGTTGGCGGACCGGTGGAATGTCTCTTCTGGTCATCCAAGGCCTTTGCACAGTGGAGAATTAAGGGGAAGGCATACGTTGTGGGTGGAAGTTGCTCTGATACGATGGAGCTGAAGGCCAGACAAGAGGTTGAACAATATTTGCGGCTAAAAGAAGATACGGACAAGCCGTGGAGCTGGGAAAAGGAGATGACCACTCAGTTTGCCAACCTGTCTCCTGGCATGAGAGGTACGCTTTTGATAAACAGGCAAGGCTGTGTATATATTGGCCTTGGCTAACAGTGTGATAGATACATTCAGACAAGCTCTTCCCGGCTTACCAAAGTCAGGGCCGGCACCAGAGCTACAGAATAGCGGAGAAGGGCTCGTCGATCTGACTGACCCCGTAGCTAGGAAGAACTTCAGGGTTGTTGTTATCAAGCCAGAAGAGGTTGAATATATCCACGATGAGGGCCCCGGGAACATAAGGAATGAGAGGTTCAAATGGAAGTTGGTACCGTCAGATAGCCAATACACATGGCGTTGGGAGGAAGAGCAGCTCTGGCCTTGATCTAACCCCCTCGTGCTCTTGAGATATAGCAAGCAATGTATCTGTCCCTGAGCAAAATAAGCTACTCTCTCCATTGACCTAGCTCTATCAATCTGCCATCTGAGCACCAGCAGGACAGTCAGCTGTACCTAGTCAATGTCGACATGTCCTGCTATTTGGCGTCTCCTTTCCCCCCCTTTAGGACATGTCAAAGCAACAACACAGCAACACAGCTCGCTTAATGCCCAGCCTCCCTCACACAGATATCTTCTTCTTCTTGTTCTTGTTCTTCTTCCAACTCTTCTTCCTTTTCTCTCTTCTTCCTCTCTTCTCCTCTCTGAGCAGTCTTTCAGTCCAGATCACAGCCTGCAGCCTGGGTGTCAACGCAGCATTTGATTGTCTTGTCTGACCAGCAGCCTTTGATACTGCATCTACCATCAACTTCTACCAGCCAGCATCCTGAAAGAAGAGAGCCTGAGCAGAAGCAGAGAACAGCATCACACCCGCCTGCTATCTTGCCTGTCTAGCAGTCTGTCCGTGAAGCAAGCTTGACAAAAGAGTAACAAGGCCTTTGTCTCTACTCTGCCAGGCCAGCATTGTGTGGACTGTCTCTTCAGGACAGCCTGCTGCTATCCTCTATCGTCTATCCTCTATCCTCTATCCTCCCGCTAGCGTAAGTTGTTGACTTCTCCTTTCACGCCCGCAAGAAGTGCACTTTCTGCTCAAAGACTTTTTTTTCCCCTTCCTTTTTGTTTTCTTTTCTCTTCTTCTTTTCCTTCTTCCTTTCTGTGCCTGTTTGACATCTCCCCTCCGCTGCTCCCGGGCAAGCAGTATTCATTATGCCTTTTTTTTATATCCCTTAACTGGATATAGCTAAAAGAAATATAGGAAAAAGAAGTGCCGGACTCCCAGGTAAGCCGTCCACCTCCTTGCTCTGCTCAGGCCTCCAGCTACGCGTTGAGATATATATCTCAGGTCGGCAGAGTTGAAGCCAGGGTCCAGAGCGAGATCTATTTTTTTTACACGAAAAGACACGCACTCTTCTCTCTCTCTCCCTCTCTGTTTCTCTCTCAAGACTCAAAATGGGACACTCAATAACATGGGAATATAGTGAGGAGTCCGAAGCCGAGGAGATGGTCTCCCGCTGCTCGTACTGCGGGCGATTCTGCAACAAAAGGGCCATTCATGGCAAGACAGGTCTCTGCTACCCATGCAGAGAGACCCTCCGCAAGGAGGGTGACAAGAGAGCCCTGGAAACGGACTCTGATACTGAGAGCGCCTCCTCCGGTCGCGGGGCCGAGGAGTGCGAGCCCGTCAAGGGCCATCCTGCTGCCACGGCTGAGGCAGAGGATGACTCTCAGTCAGCCAAGTCAGAGGAAGGGACCGCTCGCAGCAACGTCTGCTCGAGATGCTGGGCCGCAGAGGCGACGGGGACGTTATACAACTCCCCTGTCTGTGACGACTGCTACCACCTCGCACAGGCCAATCGCGTAAGTAGATAGCCATGGCCCTCCCTTTGTGTGGTATGCTTGCTACGTGCGAGATTCGCTGACATGGTCCCGAAACACTGGAAGGAATGGATGAAGGGTACCAAAGTAAGTCTTCTCCCTTACTTTTTCTATGTTCATACAATGGCATTTTCAAAAAAAAAAAAAAAAAAAAAAAAACAAGAGAAATTGACTAATATGAATCTTCATTGTGACAGAAGCGATTCCAACCGCCGAACCCGCACTTACAATCGGGTAAACGGTTGACGAGGGTCTGCGATTCCTGCCGTCAAAAGAGGAAGCGCTGCGAGCACCGCAGAGTTGTCGATGCCACTGATCGTAAGTTGGGCCGTCATTTCTTCATAGAAGAATCAAACTAGGTATTGAAAAGAGAGTGAGCATATTCTAACCTGTCCCAACTTTCCAGCGGAAGCCCACTGCCGCAAGAGAGGGAGAAAGAGAAAATGCGAAGAGATCAGTGAAGACAAGAAAGAAAGTGAAAGCAACAACGCCCCGACAAGGAGGGAGGAGGAACAAGGTAAGCTCATCCCTTTTATTTCCTTGTCATTAATGATCCAACAAATTCAAACAAAGCAGGTGTGCTAATTGATATCCTTTTCTTTTTTTTTATTTCATTTTATCCAGCAGAAATCATTGTTGTCGACGATCCTGCAGAAGAACCTGGCTGTTCCGATGAGAGCATGAATCACGCCATCAAGGAGTCTCTGGACACCGTGTACAAGAGAGAACTGCTGAAACTCGAGGCCATAGCGAACGAAAAGGTCGATGAAGCCAACAAGGCCCTGGATGCCGTCCGTGACCACCTGCGCAGCTGGCTCGAACATGTCAGAAGAGGCAACTCTCTCGGCAAACAGCAACTACCAGAGCAGCAACCAAAGGGACCAGAGCAACCAGAGAAATTGGATCCATTAGAGCAACAGGATCAACCACCACAGTCACTGCACCCACCAGAGCCAACTGCTCAAGAAGAGTGTATTTGATATCTCATCTCTTTCTCCCGCAATCACCAAGACAGAATCACCACCAGCAAAAAGGGAGAGCCAAGCTAGAATGCCGGTGATTTAACCTGGGCCACAGGGAGGTGTATGATATTTGGTTTCGTGCTTTTTGATTTCGTTTTTAATTTTTTTTTTTCTCCTTGCTTATCCTAGTGTTTTATTTTCTCTGCAGACTATGATATGAGGCGGTGATAATGATGGGGGTTCGATTCATGTTGATTAGTTAGTTATGATATTGCGCTAGCCTGCACATATGAAGGCATCCGGCATGGGAAGCCATTGGCAGAGGAACGCAGTGCATAGCAAAGCAAATGTACAGTGAAAAAACAGGCAACTGACAAGATGATTTTGCTCTTTCTTTCTTTCTTTCTCCTTTTCTCTTTCTTTTCGTCTTTGATGAGCGAAGGGAGGCTTAGTCATCGAACTAGCTTAGTCATCTATTTACTTCCACGTGATAATCGAGCATGGGGATGTCCGAAAGAGGAAAAAGTCAACATCTCGCGACGTTGGCGTTTTGAAGTCTTGCAGTTCAAGCTCGTATTCAACAGCGGCTTAACGAAGGATTTTCTCCAGGAGCTGATGCTTGACCAACGCTCGGGTGACGGGAGATGAATGTTTGCAGGACGCTGACACTCGGACATCAGACACCTCCCTCCAACCCCGAAACCCGCCGCATTCCATGTAAGATATCTGGATCTGGGACCCCCCCCACGTCCACCCCAAACAGGCGCTGGGAGATCGAAGCTATCAGGGCTGACAACCTCCTTAACATCACCGGCATCAAAAAGAAATGACACCTCTGCCAAGTGTGGTCCCGTCTCCGAGTCGAAGAGCGGAAGGAAACCCGCCGAGCCTTAGACTCCATAGCAACCTGAGCTCCTTGGAAGAAGTTGGATTGAGAAGGTTGTGCCCTTGATTATTAGCTAATTAACACCATATTTCCTAGTTGTCGTCATGCATGCAGGGCGAGGATCGAAGAAAGAGACACGCCGGGATATTTCCCCCTTATCTAACGGCTTTCTTTGCTTACGTTTGTTTTGCAAGACACAGAGTCCAATCGCGAGGATCTAGAAAGAACCTTAAAAAAACGAATAATCCTCATAGAAAGGACGAGAAAGCAAGAAGCGGTAGAAGGCCCACGCGGCTATCAATTAAAAGGGGCAGGATGATTTGCATGGTGAAACAGACGATGATAGGGGTGGTGGAGAGAAACAGCCCCAGCGGCGAACTGAAAAAGAACGGCCAACAAGCTGAGATTACGCCTTGGGCGAGAAAGACTTGGATCAAGGAAGACGGAAACAAGGAAGACAGGAAGAAAGCGGCCAGAGAGCCCTCGAGATGACATTCGCTTTTCGATATAGTTGCTTAACTAAGTAATAATGCCGGGGGACAGCAGCGGGGACCCCTTTTCAACGAATCTAGTCTCTGGACGGAGAAGCGAACGGAGTTCTCAGGACGGAGTATACAACCTCTTGTGCCGTTATGCGAGGCATCCCGGGGTCAACTTCTCCACCGCTAGTTCTTCGGCCTATCCCGCGACGGGAACGACTGGCCGACAAGCACAAGTGATGCTTGTTCTTCCAGGGTAGTTGATGATAATAATGGGGTGCACGATATTATACGTGCCGCAAAAGAGCTTTTTGTGACGCTACACAGGTGAGGCCATTGACAAAGACATTTTGCCCACCAACGCGGACATTATACTCGGTTAACATGTCTAGTTACTAGTTATCGAGTTATCCAACCTTTTTTTTTTTTTTTTCGTCCTTCCGTCTGAGAGGCCGGTCCGTATGGATTATTATACTACTGCCAAATGACTGGCTCGGTCGTTATAGATATACGCCTAGAGAGGGAGTAACTTGGCATTAAGCATCAGGAAGAGCCTAAGCGGCCAACCGGGTAGAGAAACAGAAGCAGAGCGCGCAACTTGTTGCATGAACGTCGAACGCCTGCCTGTCTGTACGGAGTACATCCCCGTACTTAAAGTCCGCACCTGTATGACCTGTATCTACGTCTGTGGCGGCCAGGGTAAAGAAGGCCTTGTCTCCATGTTGCATCGGCTTCCTTACAACTGTCTGTAAGTGCTTCGTACTCTATGGAACAAGCAGCCCAAATAGAAGCCGGCCGTTGGCGCATATGTAGACTGACAAATATATATAGGTTGGTAGGGGCTTGTCACTCGAGAGTTTAGCTGGCTAACCTAACTTCACTACTGCTGGCTTCCTGTCGCTCCCGCCCGCCGCCCCGTCGCCTTTTTTTCTTCTTCCTTCGATTTCGACCTTCGATTTGGACTTCGACTGCTCAACTCTTCTCTCTCCCTTCGACTTCTTCCTGCTTCCACCCTTTTTCCACTTCTCCTTATCGCTCTGCTTCTCTGTCACTCGACTAGACGAGAACGCAATTGCAGCATGGCCACTTTCCTTTGACTTCCTTCGCCGGCCTGCCGACTCCCGTTTGCCTCCCTGGGGTTTTTCTTTTCTTCGACCTGCTCCATTCTTGCGCATAAAGGCTGGCCATCGCTTGAGCACCGAATCTACGCAAGCCCAGCACCAGTTTTTCGCCATTCGTAGCTTTTACGACCTGTTCTACGAGGCTTCCCAGCGACGAGTTCCCCGTCTCTTCCCCCTTCCTCTCGATCTAAATCAAATCTCTAGGGCTCGAATTGCTCAGCGGAGCCTCACCTACACACAGTTATAACACTCAAACTCGTCCCGAAGAAGCAAGGGAAAACAAACTGCCGGACCAAGAAGGGCCACGCCCATCAGCAAGATGAACGGCACTCTCGTCGACCCGGCCCAATGCTTCTCCCACCTGGTCGAACACATTCCCATATGGTTGACTCGAGTCACGGAGCTGGCCTCTCATACAGCAGCCAAACACGCCGAGTTTGCTGCGGAATACACCCGCTTATCCAAGCTGAAGCCCCGACAGCGAAGACGGCGAAATAGCTCCCTCAATACCAACAAAGGAGAAGAGGACCAGCGCTCAGTAAACTCGAGAAACAGACCTTCCTCCGGTTCCACCTACAGACACTTCGACGCACAAGATCCGTTCCGGGATCCCTTGATATTCAAACGGCTCACCCGCCAGAATAACCAAGACGCCATAAACAGGAAAAGAAAACAGCAAGACAGCGCTTCTTCTGCACCTTCGGACGCTGACAGCTGTCTAGCCCGCCGGGTTCGCCAGCAGGTTGTTATACACTATGATTCTCAGACACAGACAGTGCTTGAACGCCTCGTTCGTGACATAGGTGGTGCTCGCAACCAGATCCGAAAAGGACGCATGAACTACATGATGAAAGTCGACTTCAGCCGTCGAGCTTTACCTTCCCACTTATTTCCAGCCGGAGGCCCGGACGATGACGAAAACACCCTCACCTTACCGCCGCATCGATCCTTTAGGAGGTCTCGAAGTACACATTTTGATCCAAAACCTGGTACCAACGGAACAGATACTAAAAGTACAACCCCTGCGAAACAGACAGCTTCCGCCTTTGACACGACAGACAAACAGCTAGAGGTTGCCCAGAGTTTATGTGAGACGGCCGCACACCAGTTCCTACGAAACGGAGACTGCTCTAGGGAGCTAAGCAAGACAGTAGAGCGACTTAACGCCGCGCTGGAAATGGCCCAGGCCGAAGGGACCCGACTCAAGGCTGAGAAGGAAGCGGAGAAGCTACGCCAGCAGGCTGAAGAGGAGGAACAGGAAAGCAAAAGTGACCGCACGGTCGTTGAAACGGTTGGACCTGCAGGTTCAGATGCACACATGCAAGCCGACACCCTCCAACCTGTGAAGATGAAGATGGACATGAATGTGAACGGAGATGCAAAAGCGCCGCCGGAGATGATGGGGGCTATCGAGGTGGACGACGGGTCATCGACATCGTCTATATCCATCGACCTCGCTGCATTTCGGCGGCGGAGGTTCAAAGCGTAATTTATTTACCCTTGACCGTGAGCTGGTGAGCAACGACAACGGAAATTGAGATGTATTGGAATTCTTTCTTTCTCGACTTCTGCGAACCCGTCACCTACAGTGCATGAACTCAGCGAGCCAGGACGTACCAAAGGTTCCACACTCTGCAGGTATGTGTTGTTTGCCTGCTTGGTATTGGCGACACCGGCAACAACTGCAAGCCCATGCCAGTTGATTCGAAGTCACGAAAAGGCAGAGTGTATCTATGCTCCTCGAAATTTCCGCGGGGCTTACTGTCACAACCTCCTCTGCCTTCGTTTTTCATTTACCTCCAGCATAAATCGGCGTTTTTACTTTGCATTTAACCCAGCGACGCTGCTCTGTTCCAACTAACTAACTACCTCCAAATTTCCTCTTATCTAATTGTTGCTCCTTGTCCTTTTGCCTTATACCTTTCTCTAGCAAAATTTAAAAGGAAGCCAACCATGGTTACGGTGATGATAGCGTTGCATTCCCTTTCTTTTCCTCTGCTCCTCATTTGTCTGTTGTTTTAGCCTGTCATTTCATTTCCTTTTACCATCATCAGCACTGGGACATGGATATACTTAGCATGGAGTCTCTAAAATGGGGAAATTCATACTATTTTCTGCTCTATTAATTTTTTTTTTTCCGAAAAATATGAATACCACAGATATCATATATCACTAGCCTCCTGTTTATTTTTCTCTTTCCTTTCTTTTTCTTACTTTCTGTTGTTCAATAATGATATGCCACCACCGCCAGCATATTCGCAAAGTCAGTCCAACCTCGTACGGGAACCCATCACCATCAAACCAAGAGCAAGATATCTCTTCACCAGGAAGCCTCTTGTTTAACCTTCCGTGCGGACTTCGCGGGCTTTCCCGTCAATAAATCAGAGCCGAGAAGAACAAAGTGACACTTCGGGGGCATGCAGCGGCCGGTTGGCAGTAACAGTGGTACGAATGCAGGTGTGTCATCCTCGCCCCCTTCTCCCTCCCTCCCTCGCTCTCTCGCGCTGGCCTGTCGTTTCTTGTCCGCCCGTTGAAGAGTACAGCTCATTCTCCCTGTTCTCTGCACAAGCTGTTGGCGGTCCGCCTCCCCCATCGGTTCGTATTCATGAAACGAGGCCATCCCTGCAGTTCTGACAGGCTTCAACGCTGTTGTTTGTTGGCTTTTGCTGAAATGGCACAAGGAAAAGCCAAGTAATAGATTAGGTGCATAATAGCGCTTGATATAGGGTGCCAGGGACATGTATGTATCAAGCCGATTCCATCCCCGATCGCCTAGTGATATTAATCGTCGTTGACTGATAGCTGGTCTGCTAACGACATGGTGACTGTATTATGCAGCTAAGTAACGCCCCGTCAAGGAGAAGGGTGTGGATGATACTCCCTCCGTACGGATCCTTCGTTATTATTATTACTTGCGTTTGGCTCCGGTAAGAAGACGAAAATCAGGCGAACGGGAAGTGGCAGATCAGTTGACGGAAAAGCTACATGATAGGAAAGTATACCCTTTCGCTAATCGTATTATAGTTAGTAATAATTTCACTTGGTAATTTAGTAGTCTTGTCTTCTCCCGCAGTGCAGGCAACTAAACGCACGGGAGGAAAAGAAAAGAAGAAAAAGTGAGCTGTCGGGCCATCTGAGGCCTTGTTCAGCTGATGTATATCCTGTCTGTTCTCCTCATGTAAATATGCAAGTAAGGAGGTACGGGTACATATACGATGTTGTTTGTGTTCACCCTTGCCCATGCCGCAGCGGCACAAGAGATGTTGACATCCATAGTAGCAGGTTGAGAATTGCAGTTGACAGGGAAAACAGGCGAGATTACCTTGATAGGGAAAGTGATGACATCGATTCCCTTGAACAGCGGGCTCGAATTAGGCAAGACCGCAAGTATGTATGGAGTACGGTCCGCTCCCCTCCCTCGCTGAGGGACGAATGACCCAGAATGGAGATGGGGGGTGCACGCAGATACGCAAGCGGACAGGTGATTTACGCTGTCCAACGCAGACTTTAGCTCACTGTGGTTGCATAAGTATTTTCCCGGAGAGCTTCTGGTAGGATGGGATGGAGAGACACCATCAGATTGTTGCAGGGCTATCCCTCCGTTTCTGCTTGTCAATTCCCATCCGTCCTATCCGCCGGTTTACTTCACGACTGCAGAATCGACACTCTTAACCTGAAGAAGATGGGGGTGCGAAACCAGAAAGTTATGTTTCGGAGTCTGTCCCCATTCGTTAGCTTCGGTGGATTGTTTGATTGATACAAACGCAATTTCTCACCCTGCAACTCATCTTTTAGTGTGCCCTGTTTAGCAAGTGGTTGGCACTATATAAGTTCGAGTTTGCCATGCGATACTTCAAGTTGTCCGCAATCTAAACGCCACTCAAACAGGAATGGAAAATCACCTAGGGCAGGGTTAATGCCTGCGATATGTTGTAGTAAGTAGGCCTCCTCTTCAGAGCCATGACTTGTGTCATCATACCCACTCCCTTGTCTACACTGAATGAGCTGTTCTCGCCAAGCTGGTGCATCTTTCGGGCTCATTTCAATTGCCAGGTTGAGTTCAGTCAGTTAATCAGCCAGTCAATATCTGCCGAAGAGCCACCACGCAGGAGTATGAACATGAAAATTGTTAGAGACCAAGAGTTTTTCCAAACCCTTTACACTTCGAAACCTGCATATACGCTGGCATTGCCAATAGTGCCTCCATACGTAATGCCTGTCTGAATTAGCAAATGGGCGTTTAAAGGGTCGACTGCAAGAAGCGATATCGTCGATCAAAGCTAACGGTGCAGCAAGCTAGGCGAGCCTGATGCAGACAATAACAGACCAATTTTGTTCTTTTCTGCGGTTCTCCCATTTTTGTCCTTCCTTCGTGGCAATCGAGTGCAGTGCCGGGGCTGTATTGGCCCAGATAGACATGGTGGCAGGCTGGCAGCGAGCACTTTTTGGATGTGTCGACTACTCCACAGGTCCTGGATGGTGAGATGCAAAATATGTGGATGACCCCGGTTCAGATATCGCTCTCCGTGCAAGGGGCAGGGATACTGATGCATCTCACGATCGAAGATGGAACAACGCAGCGTCGTGTCCTTTGAATCGTCGTCGAGATGTCAAACGTCGTCCGTTTTCTTTGATGCCGCGAGGAACTGGATGCGTCCACGTGATGTGACTTAGTCATCAAAACGATGACCTGCAACGGCTGGAGATGCGACAGATGGACAAAACAGACGCACATCCCATCGACGCCATGCATGGCACGGAGGCCGCAATGGCTTCAGGCGATAAGCCATGGCCTTTGATTGCGACCCGAGCGAGGGTTCTCAGCTGACAGGCTCTGGGTGAAGGCTGTTTCATGTAGAGAGTGGCTTGCGGGTTCCTCCTGCAAGATGACAGACAGACAGCCTTGCGAGAAACTCAACCTCATGCCATCAGGTTTTGATCTGGTTTTCAATTACAGACCATGCCGGGAATTCTGACCCCCTCTTTCGACTTCTGTGGCCTCCCTACCGACCAATCTGACCTCTGGTCTCTTCATGTCTACAGAGTGATTCTCCCTGGATGATATGGCCGACAGCGTGAAAACTGCTCTAGCCAAATCCCAGAATATTTCGACCAATACCAAGTAGGACAATCCTGCATTACCGTTAACATATGCTTTGCAGACGGCTCTATCTGTACCCTCAAAAGGACAGAGATGAGTCTGCAAACCTATTGAACCAGTCCTTTGGTTTCCTAGCTCTTCTCAGGCACTCTAAAATCGAAAATTGGCCAGAGATACGCACGGTGTACGGAGTAACAACAGTGTAGTTATGCCTTGAGTACGCACCGAGACCAACCTCTTCCTTATTTTGTTTCTGGGCCCGTCCAGAACGGTAGCGTCGCTTCACTCGTAGGGTGCAGGCCATTCGACAGCATCTGCCGTCTGCGGCTCGAACCTCCCCGCCTTCCTGCTCTTGTTTTGGGTGACAATATCAGCGCTACCTGTGACTGCTTGGGTGTGGGGGAAGGTAAATATGGCTGTATGCTAGTTAAGAGTATGGGGATGGCGGCTCAGCTACTTTTATGCTGTTGTACAGTAGATGATATCACCACTTTATGGTCATATCTTCAGCGTATTTGTCCCTTCTACTTTACCCTATAACTAACTACCTAACGTAATTATTTTTGGCCAACCAGTTGTCGTTGATAATGACTTCAGTGATGACTTCAGGCTGGTTTCTGGTAGGTTTAGTTACCGGCCGGAGCGAGCCGAGGTTCAACATCCTTCCTTGGCGCCTGGACCTCAGCTACTTCAGAGCTGACGACCGCTTTCTCCATCGAATTCCGAGACTAGGAATTCAATATCAGTATTGAATACTTAGTCAATTGGAATTCCCAGCTATACCTCGAAAATGAGCTCTGTCAAGCCGTTCAAGATCGCCGTTCCTGATTCACAGCTTGAAATACTGCACAAGAAGCTTGAAGTTACCACCTTTCCGGATGAACTAGATGAGTCCAAATGGGACTTAGGTGCACCGCTGGATGATATAAAGCGCCTAACAAAGTACTGGAAGGAGAAGTTCGACTGGCGTGAAAAAGAGAGATGGCTTAATGAGCAGATGTCTCACTTTACGACCGATGTTGAAGTAGCAGGATTCGACAAGCTAAATATACATTTCGTTCACCACAGAAGCGATGTAGCTGGTGCAATTCCTGTACTATTTCTCCATGGCTGTAAGTTTTCAGATATATAACTCACGTCTTTCCAAACGCAAACTAATACATTTCTAGGGCCAGGGAGTTTCCTTGAAGTCTCAAAGCTGTTGCCTCTGTTGACAGCTGGAAGTGAGAGTCACCCTGCCTTCCACGTAGTGGCACCATCTCTCCCCAACTTTGGTTTCTCAGAGGGAGTTAAGAAGGTATTACCCCTTAGCTGGGCTTTTAGGGCTCTAGAATTTCTCTCTAACGGTCAAGCAGAGAGGTTTCGGCCTTGCACAATACGCGGAAGCAATGAATGCGGTAATGATGACATTGGGGTATGAGGAATATGGTAGGATACCCCCATTAATAAGTTTATTGCCCCAAGAGTACAAGCTTATATTCTTCTCTGCCATAATAGTGGTGCAAGGAGGAGACTGGGGCGGTGTTATCTCGCGTATCATGGCGAAGCGTTATCCTTCACATGTGAGAGCAGTGCATGTCAACTTTGTTATCCTTCCACTCCCGTATCCATGGAAAAGCCCGATACTCTTTTTTAAATCCCTTCTTACAATTCCTTTCTCGCGCAAGGACCAGGCCAAACTCGCTGTATCCCAGAACTACGCCACGCAGGGCAACGGGTATATGGCTCAACAAGGCTCTCGTCCTCAAACACTCGGGTATAGTCTCCATGACAGTCCAGTAGGCCTGTTAGCTTGGATATACGAGAAATTACATGCCTGGACAGACTCTTATGCCTGGACGGAAGATGAAGTCTTAACATGGGTTTCAATATACCTCTTCTCTCGTGCAGGGCCTGCAGCATCAACTCGAATCTACTACGAATTCAACAATGCTCCTCCCGGGCCCGGAAACTTTTCTAGTCAAGAGGTAGCCAGCTGCTATTCTCCCGACGTGAAATTCGCTATTGCACATTTCCCTCGTGAGATTCTTGCATTTCCTATGCTATGGTGTCGTTCTATTGGGGATGTAGTGAGAGAGTCCGAATTTGATAAAGGTGGCCATTTTGCTGCCTGGGAGGTTCCGGATATTTTGGCAGCGGATATCCAGGGGTTCCTTGGGAAAGAAGGTCAGGCCTACGGTATAGTTTCTGGAGCAGATGGATATTAAGTCTGCTGGTTGCAATACTTGCATTCACTTCTTGGTTTTGAGTTAACCGGTCGTTGGGTATACATGGATCTCAAAGTATAGTATATAGTATACCAAATGTCCAAACATCCTACCTAAAGGTAGCAATTTTTCTATTCAGAATGCATTGATATGGGGTAAGATACCCAATGCACTATCAAAGGCATATTCCACAGTGTCTATAGATAAGGTGAGAGTAGCCGGCATCACGCGAGGTGACGCGCTCTTTCTTCTACAACCACCACCAACCGTGGACTTCAACCCCTCGTTTGGTTCAGACATACCAACAACCATCCACTTCACTGAGTGCTCTTCAACATCCAACACATCTCCGTTGATAATTAAGCGGTATACTGTCTCCCGGACGTACACGGACGGCGACGTGTGGGATACACTAAAAGCGGATCACTTTGCACGCAAAGCATTAAAAACAGCTGACTTGCTTCCAGCCCGACTCCAAGAAGAACGGCAAAAATTACTTACTGCAAGCCAATAGCTCAATAAGAAGAATTGTTGCCATGGCTCAACCAATTTCGTATCAGAGGGGGTTTGACAGATTCGCTCTAGAACCTGAACTTGGGCCTGTGGAGTTCGAGATGGCTCTGGATATAGAAGAGCAGGTAACGTATTATTCAGGGCTCAAGGGATATCATTCATAACATATACAAGTAACTAACAGTGTTGGACCTTTATCGAGGACAGGCGCGAGCATCAGAGCAGAACAAGCGCCAACTGCAAGGTAGCTGGGAGGAGATAGATGACGACTCCAACAATCAAGAGGTTAGCGTTGCTTCTCCACTGGTATTGATATAGATCTCTAATACCGCAGATACACCAGGGAGGAGGGAATTGGGGAAGTATACCGGTATTGGAAAGAAATCATGAGCCCCCTTTACCGAAGAGACTCGGCCATCTATCCCCAAATCCCGAATTCAGATTTCCCCCAGAGTCAGACTTAAGGGGAGCTGATGACATGGATCCCATAAAGAAATCCCCTCAACTAAGCCAGGAGAAGTTCGATAATCGTAGTCAACCACAGACACCGTCTCCTCGATATACCAACAAAGCCGACCAGCAATACTCTCATCACCGTTATATATCAGAGGCAGAAAGCTACACGGCGCACTGGGAGAATAGCATTCTCTATGACAAGGATATAAATACGCGGGTATCTTCACCAGGTTTCTTCCGGCTGCGGTCAGAGTATAGGTCACCGTACTTGGGGCCTGTTGGTTGGACAATACCGTCCAAATATTATAGTACAACTAGAAGGAGCCCACGAAGGCCTCTGAATTCATATGAGGCTAGCACTGATGAAAACCACGTCTCCACCGTTGACCCAAGAACCGGTTCACCCAGAGAGAGGGTTAGAAATAGGAACACAGTATCGGCATACAGTTGTCGTGCTTCCAGGCCGTTCTTAATCTACCAGGATCCCGAATGGGTAGTTCCACCTCAAGGAGTCACAGACGTGTATTTCGATAGTACTGCAAGCGACGATAAGGAAAACAGTGCACCTGAGGAGACGGAAGCTCCCATTGATAATGAAGAACTTTCCAGCGAACAGAACATGGGAATTCAAGTTGGGAGACCAGCACAGGAAAACGCCGGCGACATTGATGGACACGATGAGATGGATATCGACAGAGACGAATCAAGAATCATCTTAACCCAACCGTCAAGGCGAGAGATGCCACAATATCAACATCGAAGAGACACAAGCTCCATGTCATCCCCTTCGATTATCTAATTTAACCGGGTCTGCTTAAGGGTATCCTAACAGTCACAGAAAGGAATATAATATATATATCACAGTGCGTATGCAGGGGCAGTTATATCAAGGAAAGGAAGCGAGGCGTACATTGCATATCGGCCTGAATATCCATATTCCACTAAGATGGTCGTTCAGGACTGGCTGGGGTATCACACGGCTTGACGGCTACTGCGCCTCCAGTTCTGAAGATCACAAGCGGCTCCATCTGATCCATATTTATTATAATATAATAGCCATGACATGACACAGAGGAGCGTGAGAAACTGGCAGTCACGAAAGCAATATTCTATGAAATATCCGTACTCCGTACCGTTTTGATATGTTGTAGGAAAAATTGTGTGGATTCGTCGCACGAGAGGACGGCTGTGATTTTCTGTGGCGGATCGATCACCCACCTAGTTAGTCTGGCAGTTTGGTTGCAAATAGCCAGCCACACCTGCAGGACCCATTGCCCATGTTGAATATGTTGCAGCTTGGGAGATGGGTAATTCAAAGATCCGTGAGAGTACGTGAGGGTACGGAGTATCCAGAAAGCCTTCAGACAAGGGAAGCTCCCTACCTATATACATAGTTAACCTTAACGGAGCTTTTCCCGTAAAGTTTGCCGTAACTTGCAGAACATCGACAGCCTGTGCGACCTTGCTGCACTCCAGGCTCCCTATTGGAGCTCGCTTTCATTCAGCATTATTATTTCCCGGAATACTTGTTTCTTCCCTCCCTGAACAGCGCTGAAATGGCGAGTCACTGTGCTAACAAACTAGGGCAGAAATGATACACTGGCAGCTAAGGAACGAGTCCGACATTTGTCAACCCCCTTAAAATTGACGTTGCATGACAGCTTGGTGTACTCTGTAGGAGCCTCTCTGCTTATTTAACCCCTAAATCAAGGAAATGCTTGTTAACAATGATAGGACTGTTCATGCGAGCGAGCAGGCTGCTGGTGATGCGTCTCATCCAAGCTCCAGAATACGAGCCAGGCAAGTCGATAACCACAGCAAGGGATCGCCAGCTAGTTGTTGGACGAACCGGGACCATGCACCTGGAATTTCCCTCCCCCTTACTTTTCTTTCTGATAACTACCCGCCAGGCCGAATTCAATCACATTTTTGGCCGACCTGACTACCAGTCGAGCAGCCGGTTGAACAGCCGGTCCTAAGCAGAAAACATCCCGCCCTGCTGCCCTGGCGCTTGAGAGGTGCAAAGTGGATACAGAGCCAGTCTTTCTCTGGCTGGCTGCTTGAATTAAATGGTTGATTGGCTGATAGTCTATCTCATCTCAGACGTTAAAACTGAATATACAAGCGTAGCTCCCAAAAGACGTGTTGAGACAGTAGCCCGGACATACAAAGCTAGACGGGAAATGTGTGTGTGTTGTTTTTTTTTTTTTTTTTTTAAAAAAAAGTACAGTTCCTTATCACCTTGATCAAAACCGTACAAAATAACAACAACAACAATAATAAGGTACCGTTAATTATGCTCAGTGGGAAGTAAATCCCAAGAGTCTTGATATTCTTCGTTCAAAAGAGTTCTAGTCCATTGTCATAAACGCAGAATTTCGCACACATATAAACGTGAAGGCTGTCACATTTCCCAAGTCAAGCCTGGCACATGAAGACGGCTGTATTCTATTCCAGTTTATATAAACTAGGATGGGTAGCGTTCCATGCCATGATGCACCGTACCCATGTATAGCGTTGGATATCCGGAGTAATGCGTATGTGTGTATTCGGGTATAAGGAGACGAAAGCCGACCTTGCAAGTCTTTGCTACAGTAGCATGGAGGCCAACTGATAGAAACCCGAGAAGAGCGAGAGAGAAAATGAGAGAAGGAGAGATATGGAGACCGGCACAATGGGTATATTACCACCGCAAATACGTCGTTGTCGGTGCAAGAAGAGCGGCATAGCATGATCTCCCCTGCAAGGATGATCAAGGAAGTCATGACAGAGGAGAATATGAATGCAGAGCAAACTGCATATGCATGTACTCACCATGTCCGGTTCACCTAGGATCTAGCAGGGCGAGCGGCTTGCTGCCTTTTCCCGGACGAGGGAGGCGGAGATGCTTCGAGGTTGGCCGCTACCATTCCGATCCAACAAGCCAGCAGCAGGACGAGCGAGGGAGAAGAAGAGGGAACTTCCCTGACATTTTCTTCTCAATTCTAACAACAAGCAGCCCGTCTCACCTCCATTTGGCCATCAGGGCGGGCTCGCTTCCAGATCCCGCTGCACGAGCGGAGATAGGTACGTCGTCCGGTCAACGCTGGGCCTGGCTTCTCTGTCCCACCATCACTAATGCACGCCGCGGCGGCCCCTGCTCAAACAGCGTACCTATGTAGTTAACTCGCTGGCTCATCGACAACGCACAACCGAAGGTCTCGGTAGAGGAAGAAGACATAAGACACATGACTAGGAACAGCCAGTCTCGTCCCTGCCGATGCTACGGAGTCCTTGTGGGTGCTGCTGGAGAGGCTGGGACGAAGATCTGCACACGGAGATGCTAAGGGCGGAGGTGATCTGGCAAGCAAGCAAGTGGCCGTGGATTGCGCTGGGAGTGAGGCACTGCCGCATTTCCCGATGCGCTGTGGCGGCAAGCCGGGGACATCCTGAGCGCGGGAATAATAATAATAATAATACTGCAATAACGAGCATCACTCGCCTGCTGCTGGCGCCCCGGGAAGCCATTGTGATTGTTAATATTATCGTGCTGCTAATATGGGCATGTCCACGTCGTTTCAACGTGTTTCAAGATGACGTAAGAGGCCTGCGCCTGGCGCGATGCAGCAGGCATGCGGCAGCTATGCAGCGGTACTTCTGCTGCCCGCCCAAATCCGGTGTGGCAGGCAAGTCACTGCGCATCACGTCACCATCACCGCGGCATAGCAGGGAAAGCTCCCTGTGGACTGTGGACTGTGGCTGGTGACTGCTTACCTCAGCACCCCTGGCCCGCCCTAATTTGCCACAGCCTGCCAGATCGGGACTAGCGCCATCCCTGAAGAACGCGATCTTGCATGCTCGCTGCTCGACACGGGATGGCTGGCTCGACAGCGCAGGCCGTGGACAGCGAGCGCAGAGAAGGGTTTATCGTAGGCGCTTCTGTATAGGAGTACGGAATATAGGAGTATTACATAGAGTATAAGCCACCACCACCACCAGCAGCAGCAGCAGCGCCAGCGTCGCCCGGTGGCTTCTCGCTGCTTTCTGGCGCTGCAGGAAAATCAACAAATAAATAATCCGAAAAAGCAAAAATAAAAGTAAATCGGGGAGCTCGTCCGAAACAGGAAAGCTCGACTGCAGCTCCCTCACTAGTCCCAAACTAGGAAGCTACGCAAGATCCAGGATGGCCCAAAGTGCGACCGCCCTCCCTTTTTACTCTTCTTCTGCCGCCGCCTCGCCTCGTCTGTCTTCTCCTCTTCCTCTTCTCCCGACCCCAACTCGACCTCGCTCGACTCCCATCTCCCTCCCACCACCAGACGTCGACCATCGCATCGACGCAGGAGAAGAAGAAGCACTCTCCCACCACCACTCGCTCGCTCGAGTGTCGTCTCAAGTCCTCGCCGCAATGGACGCTCTCAATGTCTTCGCGAAGCGCGTTCGTCTTCCCTCTCTCTCCCTCTCCCCGTTGCCCTGACCCAGGCGAGAGACCCTCGCAAACGACCTGCAGATGGAGCTAACAGAGCGCCTATAGGATGAGCCAGAGAAGCCCAGCGAGGCATCCAACTCGCTGTCGGGGTTTCTCTCGACTCTCGTGCCCACCGCCATCATCTCTGCTATCATGGTGGTGCTCTTTTTGATCTTGCGCCAGAGCCAGCGTCGCCAGTACGTTCCCAGAACATACATCGGAGCTCTGCGCCAGCATGAGCGCACTCCCGCACCAAAGCCCGGCCTCTTTGGCTGGGTCAGCTCCATGTGGAGCCTGCCAGATACCTACGTCCTGCGCCATCAGTCCATGGATGCCTACCTGCTGCTGCGCTACCTCAAGATCGCAACGGCTCTCTGCTTCTTTGGATGTCTTATCACTTGGCCCGTGCTTTTCCCAGTCAACATCACCGGTCATGGCGGCCGCCAGCAGCTTGATATGCTGGCCATTGGCAACGTGGACGCCAAGCGTCCCGGCAATCTGTACAGATACTTTGCCCATTGTTTCGTCGCTTGGGCTTTCGTCGGTAAGTTTTGACGGTCTTGCTCCAAAGTTATAAAGCTGGGGATGTATAAAAGCGAACTAACAATGGATGGATAGGATTCGTATTCTGGATGGTTACTCGTGAACTGCTTTACTTTATCAACCTGCGACAGGCTTACTTCATGTCTCCGTTGTATGCGGAGCGCATCTCCTCCAAGACTGTGCTCTTTACCTCGGTGCCGGAGGAGTACTGCGACGAGGCCAAGATGCGCGCCATGTACGGAAACGACAAGGTCAAGAATGTCTGGCTCGTCACCGATGTCAAGGAGCTCGAGAAACTCGTCGAGGAGCGTGACAAGGCTGCCTTCCTACTTGAGGGTGCCGAGACCAAGCTCATCAAGATGGCCAACGTTGCTCGAGGCAAGGCTCTCCAGAAGGGAGGCGAAGTTGATGACCCTGCTGCTCATGGAAATATCGGCGAAGCTGAGTCTGGCTCCGTTGCCGCACGCTGGGTTAAGCCAAACCAGCGACCAACCCACCGTCTCCTGCCCATCATTGGCAAGAAGGTCGACAGCATCAACTGGGCCCGTGAGGAAATCGGACGTTTGACCCCTGATATCGATAACCTGCAGCGTAACCACCTCAACGGTCAAGCCAAACGCATCTCTGCCGTTTTCGTTGAATTCATCAACCAGAATGAGGCTCAGGCTGCTTACCAAATGTGTATGTACTACTTCTCAAGGTTTTGGTACCTGAGCGAAGGATTTTTTTTCTTTACCGACGACTAACCTTAACTCTCTTTAGTGGCTCATAACCTTCCGCTTCACATGGCTCCTCGCTACATCGGTATCAACCCAAGTGACATCATCTGGTCTAACCTGCGCATCAAATGGTGGGAGCTCATCATCCGTTATTCTGTCACTATCGCTGCCGTTACTGCACTCATCGTCTTCTGGGCTATTCCCGTTGCCGCTGTTGGTGCCATCTCAAACATCGACTATCTGATGGCGAAGGTTCCATTCTTGAGATTCATTGGCAAAATCCCACCTGTGATTCTCGGTGTTGTCACTGGATTGCTCCCTACTATCTTGCTTGCTGTCCTCATGGCCCTGTTGCCAATTGTTCTTAGGCGTAAGTCTTGAAAACTGTGTGTACCCATGTTTTCAACCTTTACTAACATCATTTTTTTACTAGTCCTTGCTAAGCTTGGAGGATGCCCTACCAAGGCTGCCGTCGAGCTGCGCACTCAGAACTTCTATTTTGGATTCCAAGTCGTTCAGGTTTTCCTGGTTGTCACTTTGTCGTCCGCTGCTTCTAGCGCTGTCAGTGATATTATCAAGAACCCTTCCTCCGCCCCTGGCTTGCTCGCTAGAAGCATTCCAACTGCCTCCAACTTCTACATCTCCTATATCATTCTTCAGGGCTTGACTTTTAGCGCTGGCGCTCTTCTTCAGATTGCTGGTTTGATCATCTCCAAGCTCCTCGGCATGATTCTGGACAACACTCCTCGCAAGATGTACATCCGTTGGGCTACCCTTTCTGGTATGGGATGGGGCACCATATTGCCTGTTCTCACTAACCTCGTTGTCATTGGTACGTCAATATTCTCTGGTATCCCTAATTCATCCAGGCTCGTTCAACTAACATCTACCCAGCTATCACTTATGGAGCCATTGCCCCCTTGGTTCTTGGATTTGCTACCGTCGGCATGTTGCTCTTCTACCTCTCTTTCCGCTACAACGTTTTGTATGTCAACGACACCGACATCGACACCAAGGGCATGATCTATCCACGCGCCCTCAAACAGACCCTCGTTGGCTGCTACCTCCTTATTATCTGTTTGATCGGCCTCTTTGCCATTGGTACTGCCTCTGACAGATCCGCTACTGCCCCTATGATCCTTATGATTGTCTTCTTGGTGTTCACCATCCTTTACCATATCTCCCTGATCAATGCTGTGAACCCACTTCTCAATTATCTGCCAAAGAATCTCGAGGCCGTCGAACAGCAGCACCAGGCTCTTCTCGCCCAGAACAACAATGGCCAGCCTGCTGCCCACAATGGTGATGTCGAGAAGGGTGATGTTCGTGGTGCCACTAATCAACCAAACATGATCGCTAAATTCCTTGGACTCAACAAGTATGAGGGCTACGAGCAGCTTCGCGAACTCGTCCCCCACGGTGCCTACGACACTGACTACCCAGCCGAAGTGGAGAGAAACGCATACTATCATCCCTCCATCACTTCTACTGCACCTCTCCTCTGGATTCCCCGTGATGCCGCCGGCGTCTCTCGCCAGGAAGTCATTCACACCAGCCGTTACATTGGTATCACTGACGAAGACGCCACCATTAACGACCAGGGCAAGATTGCCTGGGATGAAGAAAGAGGCGCTCCTCCAATCCAAGAGGAGAAGATCTACTACTAGTCGTTCTCCGTTTTGGTTCAACCTAGATAATCGTCACAAACCTTTTTTTCCCCTTTTTGCTTATTTTCCTTTGTTTGGGTCTTGATTCCTAGTCTCTAACGGCTGCGGTTTTCTGGACGAAGTATGACGCTAATGTTTATGGCGATCCCCGATGTGGCTTGAATGAGTGTTTCTCCTTGATACCCTATACCCCCCCGAAAACCAAAAGTAACAAAATTGATATAATTGGAGATGGAAGCTTATGAGGGTTCAGCCTAGCCTGGTTGCGTGCAACTGCATCTGCGAGCGAAGCTGTATGTTTAGGTAGCTGTGTTTTTTCGTTGTTGACCTGTTAAGTAACGTAATAGTTAATATACTTATTATCATTCTCGACTCTGTAAGCAGCATCTACCACAGCACATCTATCCACCACAAAACAATAAATAATTATCATGCGCACTCTGGAGGAATACCATCGCATTAAACAAGAATCATTACTCCGTAGAGAAAAGCAAAAAGTCGAAAAAAAAAGAAAAGACTTCAACTTGAACCCGGTGCGAATTGAACGCACAACCTTCAGATCTGGAATCTGCTGCGCTACCATTGCGCCACGGGTCCGCTTTTCATGTCTAGCTTCTCGGCCGCAATGCTAATTATCGCCAATGTAAGTTAGGGTAAGTCACGTGTCGATTAGTAATAGATTCATTATATCATCATAGCTCGAGGCTTAAAAAAGGTAAAAAAGAAATAAAAAAAATCCCGGAAAAAGCACAACTTCCAATTTTTTTTTTCGACGTCAACCACAAGCTACACCAAACAAGCTTACCTCGCGCACCGAAAGCACCACGACAAGTAGCGCTTACGAGCCGCTACATGTGAAGAAACAGGACTCCGGGCCTCGAGAAAACTGATTGCGACGCATCCCTTTTTTAACACGGACATTTAAACACGGGAACAAGTTCAAAATGGCGAATGAACAATCAGCAGGTAAGCAGTCACAAGCAGCAGCTCAAGCTCCCTGCTTCTTCTCTCAGTGAAGAAACCTGAATCGCTAACTGATATTGTACATATAGCCTGGCCCATCGCAGATGAAGCTTTGACTACTGAACTGCTCGACCTCGTCCAGCAGGCCTCTCACTACCGCCAGCTCAAGAAGGGTGCTAACGAAGGTACGCACAAAATGCAAAAACCCTTGTCATTTTTTCTATCTCCATAGCTAACGTATTCCTCTCGCAGCAACCAAAACTCTTAACCGTGGAACCTCGGAGCTGGTTATCCTCGCCGCTGACACCAGTCCTCTGGCCATCTTGTTGCATCTCCCGCTTTTGTGCGAGGACAAGAACACCCCTTACGTGTATGTGCCTAGCAAGGTTGCGCTGGGCCGCGCGTGTGGTGTCAGCCGTTCTGTGATTAGTGCCAGCATTACTACCAACGAGGCGAGTGATTTGCAGGCGCAGATCCTCAACATCAGACAGAAGGTTGAGAGACTAATGATTTGAGGGGTGGATTTGAAGGAATTGGAAAGGAGATATCTGGTTATTCTAGTTTTGGTCTAGCTGGAGAGAAATTTGATGAGGTGAAGATTTTGAAGATGTCTGGCCGGCGCATTGTAGACTACTAGTTGCAATATCTACTTGGACCTACGAATACAGAATCATCATTGGACAAAGTAATTTTGATATGGAATAACAATAAATTGTTGAAATAATACACAATTCGAAAATAGTCTACTTGTGTATACGGCGGGGCGTGTACCATGTCGAGAATCATTTATATCACACTGCATATCAACATTATATATCAATATATTAAAACAGTATGTTTATAAGAAAGCCCTAGACACATATTTCCTTCAATCCCCACCAGGATTTGGCAAGACGTGTCCACCAAGCTAAGGGGTCATAGAGAGCGTCCGGGGTAAAGAACGTTTTACATTCAGCAGGCTCGTACACAAATTGTCGAGGGGTACGGGCCTTGTCTTCGTTCCAGATGGCATTGCGAAAGTTGACAGCAGCATTCTTGCCCCTTGTTGCCATTCGACCCAAAACGTATAACCCAATATGGTACATCTTGCCAACTCGAGTCTTTTCCAGTAAAGCCCGCTCTTCAACTGTAGATAGCTTCTCGTAGAGAAGCCATATAACGTAATATAGGTATCTGTACGTGAGGACGTTGGCACCCTTGACACCCCCCACGGCCTGCATTGGGCCATGTTGAGGCCGACCACCAACGGCAATAAACTTCGAGCCATGACGTCTCATAAGATCGGTAAAGATGGAGCAGGTAGATGCACAAATACCATCGGTGACGATGACCATATCCCTCATTGAAAAAGGAGATGGAGGGATTTTAGTACGATTTCCATAACCAGAAACTATAAAAGGGCCGGTGGCCAAAGTCATTTTGATGTTGTCGAGGTCCCATTTGGTGGGATGGGTGTAGTTGTCTTGTGGCAGAATCTCTGGTCCGTAGAGGTCGGGCCAGGACGGGAATTTGGTGCCATCGACAGTGATGTAGGTATCAAGATCGTAGCCGGAGTATCTCAAATTTTCTGCTTCAGCAGCCCTGGGATCAAGCGGTTTATTAAGGAGCTCGTTGGCTCTGGTGCCAACGGCGTTTAATTGCTCAGTGGCACGCATGTTGGAAGGGGTCAATATCTTCCCATTTGGAACGAGCTAGATACGATTGTTAACATATGCTATATGATAATACGCTTCTGACTCCAAAGGTGCTTGACGCTTACCTGCTTGAAGAGGTCATAGCCGAGGAAGACCAGACCACCTTCATTTCCGCTGACATCAATGATAAGTTTCTTCGTCTTCATTTTTCTGCACTGCTCCAGGAAAGCGGCAATCGTATAGCTGAGGTCCATCTCAGTGGTGTTGCCCTTGGCTATGAACTCTTTGACAACAAGCACAGCAGTACGGGGGAACCTGTTCTTCAGGAAGTAGCCTTCAACGATGCCGTCTGTGGAATTCACGTCTGGCTTAACATACGGAGGAAGTTCGCGGGCGGCCAGGCGGGATGGTGGTTGTGGGTTCGAGATAGGGCTGCTAATCAATCGGGGAGTTTTCCTGTCCGATTCCTTAAAATAGTAATCAAGGCCGCCCATTCGATTAACACCTGATTCATCATCTCTTCCGGTGCAGAACTTGTCGTAGAAGGTTTCACCGTCCTTGACGCCAGTAAAGGAAACATCGAAAAAGGCCCAGTTTGAGAAGTCTCTCACAGTCCCGTTGTAGAAACCAAGAGTAGTTTTGTCACCAGGGTAGACACTCCCTGGGTAGCGGAAACCACCACGTCTGCGGTGCGGGACTCGAGGGAGGCCGGCAAGCATTTGGTTGTAAAGGGCATCGCGGTCCTGGGAACCCCCATTGAGGGACCACTCCTCCATCCATTTCACGGAATCTTCGCCATCAATGGTTTTGACGGCAGATTTGGGATCAATGGCGTGTTTGTTGCCAATGGCTGATGGCTTGCTTGACTTTTTTAAATCATCTATAATGGCGGGTGAGACAGGGAATTCCAAGCGAAGGAGAGACGGAGGGCCTAGTGATACCTACCCAGTACATAGAGCCTTGGGAAATCCTTTCCTCTCAATGAAAGAGAAACTAAGGAGCCGACGTCGTAGCGAATGAAGGAGAAGACAGTGAGCAGGTCCAAGTCCATGTGGAAGTGGCCGTCGTGGACAGATGTAACCAGGGTTTGCAAGTCTAACTGAAACATGTACTCGCCCGTGTAGCCACCGCTGAGCGCCTTCTGGCGAATCTTCTCCAGACCTGCGTCGAGATCCGTGGGAGGCAGATCATACCCCTTTGGTGGGTTAGGCAACCAGCCCTTGGTCGACTGGGAATCCCAGAAGTAGCTCAGCCCATCAAGCAGGCGTAGACTGTTGTTTACGTTGAAAGGGACAGATAGGAGACATGCATGAGCGAGGTTTGCCGGGATTTTGAATTCGGTAACTATAGTTAAATAAAACCAGCCGTCAGCGAATGATATAAATCATTCATTGGGTATTATATCTGGACAGACCATCTGGGTCCTCCTTCTTCCGCTCCCGTTGGATCTCAGCAACCTGTCCACATGGCTCTACGGCGCTAGCTATGCCAGCAACACAGAGCAAAAGGCCAGCAATGGCCTGGTGAAATCGCACCATATCCCGTGCCTACAGCTCTAGCAAGCAGTTAGGACGAAGGGAAAGAGGTTGGAAATTTGGCCTACACAAAAGGAGTGGGTGTAGGTTGGGTGGAATAAAAAGGAACGGAACGCCGATCTACACAAATGAGTGAGTGTAGATTGACAAAAAGAATGAAATGATAGCAGGCGAACACAAAAGAACGAGTGTGTAATTTGAAAGCAACCGGCAAGAGCACCTCTAGAGAAGGGAGAGGGTCGCCTTGGAAGATGGGGGATTTGACGGCTTATTTAACTATCCATATTCCCCAGGCCTTGCACGAACAGGTGGTATTACATTGTCCAACTTCTCCTATTAGGGCGCCTGGCATATCACCTGGGGCGAAAGGAGATAGATATTTCCCTTCCTCCGGGATATATTCCAGGGGAGCACATATATCTTTATCCTAGGGGTATAGTACCAAAGAGATGGCAACAGTATGTGGTATTATTCAATATTCAAATTTATGCAAGAAGAAGAAGTTCAATTCCCGCATGAGTATCAGTGCACTGGTTGGGTTGTTGCATGATTGCAAAGATCTCTTGGAGCGAGCGTTCGATCATCTCATGCTAAAACCTCTCGGGGAGTTAAATGATGCTAACGCCAGGGGGATCTCCCTCCGACCCACAGAGAAATGAGCCAGTGCGGACTCTCGTCTCCATACCCATGTGGTGACCCGGTAATATTATTGTTATTGGGAGTGCCTGCTCCTAGTTATGAAGGCGTAGAAAACCGCCAGTTGGTATATTTGGTTGGCCTGCAACATGGAGAAGCGTCTTTCATACACTTCCACCGCCGCCCAGCTTCGTTGTCTGGTTCAAGAGATTTCTGTAGCACCACCGGCCAAAATGGCAGCTCTACGGAGTACCAGCATAGGCTAGTTTGTCCCATGAAGTATGCCCTCGACTTGACTCTTTCTTTGTCCTTTCCTGCGCCACGGGAAATTAGGGAGTGGTGATACTCCATGTTGGCGTTATAATCGCCTTGCGACAATTATTAAAAAAGCATAAGCTGCGTCTACCCCGCGAGCCAGGCAGAGATTGTGTGGTGCATAGACACGCCAGATAGTTAAATCACAGCTTTCTCCGTACGTGAATCAGCCTGGAAAGGGAAGCGGAAAGTCCACCGCAGCGCTGATCCCACGGAAGTTCCGGGCAGCCTGTGGCATTCGTCATCCTGACGCCGCTGCCCGTTGGCGAGTTGATACATAACTACAGGGTATATTAGCTCGTGGATAGGCCCACATAACTATCCAGCGCCTCGGCGGTCAGAGGGAGGAGAACTGCTGAGATGAAATCACTGTGCATAGGGCGTTCTGCGTGTCGAGGTCGACATCGCACAATGCCCGAAATGAAAAAGGGCCTGCCTGCGGGCTGCAGAGTCCCTGGCCTCTTGATGGTGCTGTCTGTCGTCCGTACGGAGTACGCTAGTTATGTTAGTTAGATTGTCTGGTGCTCTGGAGGTAGACATGATAATATCCGGCAAGGGGCCGGGACAGGCACCTTGGATATTTGTCCCCAGTCCACACAGCCGAGGACAGACAAGCAAAGAAGCGAAGACAAGGGCGCTAGTTAGTTAGTTAGCTAGTTAGTTAATTCATATTAGTTCCTTTTTTTTTTTTTTT